TTATTGCTTCAGGTATAAAAAGCACTATCCCAATTATAGATGAAAAAAAAAACTAACCTTCCTTTAAACACAGAGGATGTTTTCTTTAAGAATGAGAAAATTAAGCCACAGTTGTGTTCCAAATCTTCTACTTAACTCTGTTTCGATTCACAGTAAGGTCACTCCACCCACGTTGACCTGTTACCCCCAGGACTTATCACTAAGATCCTACATTGTAAGCAAACACTGCCCTCTTGTGCACTGCAACATCGAGGAGACAAAGTTCCGCTTCGGGGGTTGGGGAGAGGGGCATTCCAGACCAACAAAATTTTTATACCGGTTGATTTTTCTTCTTGCATAGCTCCTTAACTAAAAAAGTGGTTTTCATTTAAAAATGTCAATGAAAATACCTGCTTATTTTATCAGACAACTATCTGGCACCAGCCAAATTGAGGTGAATTAAAAAAGACACTGTTTCAATTTCAAGAGAAGTGTTTTCATTTGCAGAAATAAAGTTTATTTGCATTTTTAATACAAAGCAATATCAGCAATTTACAAGCACCATGACCCTAAAGAGTCTAATAGCATTTAGGAAACATTCACATTACTGCTAATTCAACTCTCTTCGCCCAAGAGTACGTCCATGACATCAACCACTACAACAAGGCTCATGGATATAAATTACACAACACAAGAGTTGTATCTTAATATTTTTTTCACCTTAGCAAGGTTCATTATAATGTTATTCTCACTTCAAGCTGATAGTCAAAGTTCCAAAACATTAACTGTCACATCTTCACACAGCTCTCAACAAACAAAATCTCACATCAACAGAAGTGTGTTTTCATTATAGTAAAGCAAAGGTAACCCCGAGTTTACAAATCCTCTTAAAAGCTTACAACAAACTCAGCAAAACAACTAATCTGTGATAAAAGGTGGGGAGTTTTTTGTGATATGTTAATCTTACAAATAATCTGCATCTGACTGACTTTGAATGCTGGTAGCGAGACCACATTTCCCTTGATCTCCCAAGCCTGTTTTCATTGTACTCATTTGCATCAGCAAGACATGCTTTTGCTATGCTCATTTCCCCCTCCCCAAGCTCTTGTGTAAGTTCAAAAGTCCTGGCCCCTCCAATGTATCAGGTATGAATTAATACCCTTCCTTAGCAGAACACAGCAGCAAAGTGGAAACAGATACTTGCAAGGCAGTTTTCTTTGAAAGGAACTGCAGGGACAAATGGTGACAATGAAGCTCTAGTCATAAAGTAAAAAGGTCAAAGGTTCAGAGAGGCATAAGGATTACAAAACTACAAGTTCGTCAGAATTCCCCACACCCCAGGTTTAGACAACCAGGGTCAAGCAGTAGCTTTCCAATTAAAACCCTATAAGGATACTCTGTCCTTTGAACTTCATAGGGAGGAGAAAAAAACAAAAGGACAATTTTCTGTTTTAGAATTTCTTTTGAGGAGCCATCTCAAAATCAAACAGATAAAGGGCATCTGACAACAGCTCACCTAAAACAAACACTGTGCTATCCCTTCGCTGCCTGTGTGGGGGAAGCTGGGATGAGGTAATCATGTTCTTCTGTATTAGTGTGCTGACCCTTTGTAGGGCATGAAATTAACCATCAGCAAGTAAAAAATCTGCTACTGGTTAAACTACTTTGCTACGCAAAGTGGTCTTAAAATGAAATATGGGGATTGAATTTCTTCTGGCAGATTAACTTGTATAACCTCTCTGCAGGCATCCCTTCCTGCTGAACTCATTTCAGAAACCATTCCAGACCCTACTGGATGCACAGGTCTGCAACAAACAAATATAAAAGCAACTCTTATTTTACTTGGACAACATGAACATCAGCTTTGTGAAAGATCAGGAGCTGAACTTCAACAAAAGAACAGCAGCTTAAAAAACCTCATAATACCGTGACAGAAACTACCCCACCACAATGTGAAATTTTACCAAAAATACCACCCTAAATATCTACCACAACAGAAGAAAGATAACGGTATTGCCTCTTGTAGTCATTCCTTCAGTGCAGAAAGTGAGTGTAAGGCTGACATGGGTTCTTCTTACTGGTCATGACAAGCTAAGAACTGACCCTTACGATTATTTTACTGAGACTTGTTTTCTCTGCTTAGCAAGTCTCAAATGGCTATAAATGCTGTATTTGTTGCACTGCTTGAGACAAGAGGCTCCTAAAGCACAGGAAATGTCTGAAATTATTTTACATAAAGAGTTTTTTATTTTAAATAAAGAGTTTCGTTCTTCTTGTTTAAGACAAAAAGAAATACAAAACAGTTCAGGCCATACAGCTACCAACAATAGCTTAATACCTTCCTGCCACAGACACAGAAGAGCCTGATGTTGAAGAATATAAACCAACTTGGTGAAAGGCATGATGTAGTACATCAAGTGACTATTATTTATTCCGTTCCAACCTTGACTATCACCTTCCAGCTAAAACTTTAGGAAAGCATCTTGGGCAGAACTGTCTGCAACATTTACAATTCCCTGCATGCAGGTTAAAAAAAAAAATAAAAAAACAAACTTTTGATTTAACATTCGATATGTTTTGTTTTCAAGGACAAGCTTCGTAAGAAAAACGTAGCCACGCAGAATGAAATACGACTTCCATTTTCCATTCCATTTGGTTACTGCTCAAATATTCTGCATTCATTTAATCCTAAGGTATTGTGTCTAAATAAGCATCTTGTGAGTGACTGTGACATGTATTCACAAGGTCGAGCACTGTCTGGCATAGCATGAACCCTCACATCCAGCTCCCTTGCCCACAGCCATCCCATCTTTAGTTTTCCTGTAGGTTAATACACACATACAGCTACCACAGGACTTGATATCATAAAAGCAGGATTTTAAACAAGTATGAGAAATCTGAGATGCAGAATAAACACAGGAAGATAATGTACTTTGCACTTAAGTTTTATTTTAAAAACATATAGAGAAAATGTGTAGTAACAGGAAAATCACAGATTCCATCAAAAAGAAAAAAAGTAGTGGAGTTCCTACTTGGAATGTTGCAGACAAAATGTTTGGAAGACTGAACCCTTAATGCTCAAGGACAAGGAAGTAGACCAAAATAACCTAAATTTTTCAAGTATCATTTCTGAAGTGGTGAAAAAGTTGGCAATATTGAAATACTCAAACACCAAAGAATGTATCCTGTTACACAAGATACGCTATACTTCAGTTTGAGTTTCACCAAAACACGCTAAACCTGTAAGCACCTAAGTAGTCCCCTTGGCACAGATCAGGTTTTATCAAGGTCTCACCCTTCAAACCTGGTAGGAAAAAAGAAAGGGGGGCAGGGGTGGCATGCACCATCAAGATACATGTCATCAAGCAGAAAACTGAAGTCTTTTAACCCTTCTAACTATTAACACAACATTTTCCCTACAACCCTTTCTTAATACACAGAATTGCAGTAAGTTGCACTAATCAAATGTTTTAAGAAATGTACATAATCTGGTATAACTGTAACTAAATGAGTTTGATGTGCTTATTGTGTCTGAACTGACACCTGTAAAGAACCATTTCTGCTGAGAAGAAAATTTCATCATGTCATCTAACCTAGTCCACATCCTTCCTTCTGCCTGCATGGCCTATTGATAAGGAAATCTGAATAACCTCTTCAGCCAGTGTGGAGAGCTGTGACTGAATACTTCGAAGATGCTCATAAAAACAATAGGAAGCAACAAGACAGCTGTGTATTAAACAATCACCCCAAATAAGTGTTAAAGGTATATTAAAAACAAACAAACAAACAAAAAAAATGGTTAAGGCAGTTTTCTAAATTTTCCCATGTCCTCTTCATGAGAAAGTTTACACCACTCAGATTAGTTGCTTCTGGCAGAAAGGAATGTCTGACTACAAGTCACTCTTGAGTACATCCAAAAAACGTTTGCCAAAATAAACTTTGTTCTTGAGAAGATAATCAGGTGCTTAAAACTACTGAAGAATGATAGCGGGTTGTCAAGTACCAAAGATGACTAAAAGACCACAAGTTTCTGGAATTTAGCACCCGGCTGTTCCTCCCCTGCACCTCCGAAACACGTGAAGGGCATTGGAAGGCCGGTGAAATGGACATACAAGTAAATATTTATCCCAAAGAAGTGCAAACACGATGCAATTACTACTACCGCAATTTATAAATAACACATCTGCTCACAAGGGGATTAAATTCATTCACCATGAGAAGTAACTCAGTCTGAACCTTAGTCTGGCCATGAAAAAACATATTCTATTGCAAATCTACCACCTGGCTGACACTAAAGAGAGACTGGCAGAGGAAAGGCATAGGAACGGAACTTGCAGATTGAGTTTAAAGTTGCAGTTTATCAACCCGTGACTACTTAAAGCAGCCTACAGCTGCAACTCCATTCACATCCTTAATCAAGCACCAACCACCTCTTAGCTCTCTTTAGAAGAAAAGGAGAGGGGAAATAAAACGAGGTGAACTAATTCAGAACAAGTTGCAACGAAAACCAGATTACCCTTCCGGTATCATCTACCGAGACTAAACTGAAAAGCTACCAAAATCCACAAAATTATTTTTAAACATAAGATTATCGTATGAGAACTCCCTGGTCCCTCCAAGACAAAAGTTCATCACGGGGATGCCCCACCAAGTACAGCACAGCTCTCTCTGCAATAGCAAACTCTGACAATTTTTAAAAGTGAGAAAAAAGAACTTAATAGGTCTGTAAAATGCCATTAATCAGGTCTCCATCCACAATAATGAAAACTTTTTATCCGACTAAGTGTAAGGAGCTTGAGCAGGCCTGACTGCTCAAAGCGCACCCCAGGAACTCTAATTTGGAAACCCCTTTCCTGTGAGCGCTGGTACTTTATTCGAGGGGCAACTATGAAGCAGGGTCACAGAGTCACAGCGCCCGTGAAAAACCCGGTACTTCGCCCACCCCCGCCTGCCCTCGGGGAAACCCCGACCCGCACCAGCCGCGCTCCCCCCGCGGACTCCGCCGGGCGTGCCCCCCTTACCGCCGATGATGGTGCGGATGAGGGAGGCGTGCCCAGGACAGTCGACCAGCGTGAACTGCAGCTCTCCGGGCCCCGGGCCCAGCTGCGGCGGCAGCGCGGTGCGCAGGCAGGAGAAGCCCAGGTCCAGCGTGATGCCCCGGGCGCGGCTCTGCGGGGCCCGGTCGAAGGCGGCGGTGGAGCCGGTGGTGCTGAGCGCCCGCGCCAGCGCCGTCTTGCCGCTGTCGATGTGCCCCAGCACCCCCACGTTCACGTTCAGCACCCGGGCGGCCATGGCGCCGCTGAGCCCGCACGGTCCGTCCCCACAGCGCCCCTGCGGCAACGCGGCGCCCGCCGCCGCCGTTCCGTGCCGGGCCGGGCGGAGGGTGAGGCAGAGGAGCGAGGGTTGGGCAAACCCAGCGCGGCTCGCCAGCTCCGCGGCCACCGCGGGGATGGAAACCCGCCGGCCCCGGCAAGCAGCACCTCTCCACCCTCCCCTGCCCACACGCTGCCCCTGCCGGGCGCTCTCTCCCACCAGAAGCAATTTAAGCAGGGGACTCTGATGGCCACACGCCCAACAGCTGGGCCCTTCCACAGGTGTGTGCCCGGCCCGATGGCAGCAGGAGGGAGCGACAGCCCTGGGAGAGCGTCTCTGTCACCACCCCTGCCCTGGGTCATTCCCACTCGGCTCTTCTCTCGCCCACGCTGATTAGTCGCTTTAAGGCTGCTCAGCTCAGCCCGTGCTGCATCACACCCTTCATTCTGCCCCCATGGACACCCCATCCTGGTGCTGCTGGAATTACGGTGAAAAAGCAGGTCACGTTTGGATCATTTGCTCTCCTTATGCTTAATACACTCTAACCTTGTGTAAGTCGTTTTCCTGTAAAAAAAAGTATATTTCTTTTGAGTAAGATGCTACCTAAAAATCACACCTGTAATGAAGAAAGAAGCACCAAGATTATTCACAGCTCTCCTGCAAACCAACAATAACCACCCAAACAAAACACAGCAAGTAGATGAGCATTGGAGAGGCCTGAGAGCGGCTCAGAGGCTAAGGACAGGAGCTCACTCCACTGATTCAAGTCACTTGGCTTTGCTGATAACCCGGGATGCACACGGGGCCAAATGCATTACAGGATAAAGCTTAACACATGTGCTCAGCATTTCAATAGTGACTACTAAGTAGCCCAAAGTAGCACTTCGAATGATAACAGCTGTTTACAAGCCAAGAAGCCAAAACTGTGTTATGGACTTCCCACAGGTGTCAAAGCAGACCAGACTTACTCTATATTCTATGTTTTATTTTCTTTGAGAGCAGTGCTGTTGCTTTTCTGCTCACCCTATGCAGTAATATGTATTGCTAATGGTATTAGCATTCACATCTGAAAAACTAATGAATGAGCCAGAAGTGTAAAATTACTTGCCTAAGGCTACTGTCAACATCATAGATTTAGTTTTTGGGCTTTGACTGCAAACCCCAGGCTTTTTTTCCTTATAAAGAAAGCTGCTTTATATAAAAACACTTCCAATATGAGTTTGTTTTAAAGCTGAATACAAATTATTCATCCTTTGAAAACACTTGGAAGTCAACCTGACAGAATCAATGATTCAGTGAAAAGGGGTGGGGGGAATAGTTTTCCTTCCTAGTACTCAGTGCTATTTGAGAGACAACTGTCTCCCTAAAGGAAAAGCATGAACTCACAAGGAATACTGCAATGCACTGAGCTAGCCTGGCTAATCGGCTTCTTGAGTAGAATAGTTCAGCTTGATGAGAACTCTGTCTTGGGAGCCAAATTAAGCATAATGTCACTTTTCAGACCAAGTTCCCAGCCTTTGAATAGTTTCATGTTAAATCATAAGGCTCATATACACTTAATTGTGCTGAACATCTCAACGTGTTGTATCGATAAGTATTTCCAAAGGGAAGGAAAAGTTTACATCAATTCCCATAGTTATAATCCACAAAGATATCCCTGTATCATATTACCTACCATTTACTCCTTTTTTTAGCATTGTTAGATGAGTTCAGAAGGAAGAGGTGGGAAAAAGTCTGATTCCTACCCAGAGGAGGCATTATCCAGAAGTCCTCCCAAAACATCTAAAATCACTGCCATTTTCAACAAGCTTTGACAAAGTAGAAAGGCCTAAAAGTCTCTACAGCTCTTGAGAAAACTAGCAATGAGGTCAAGGAGGTCCCATTTCATTGTCTCACGGTGCAAGAGGCTACAGGCAGCTCAGGTGTGGTCTGTTTCGGTCTGCCAACCTAGTGATGAAACAAACAGTCGATGAAACAAACAGTTGCTGGATTTAATTCCACTGCTCACATTAAAATAGTGGCACTTTTACTCGTGAGTGACGTCCAAGGAGGAGAGGTGTCAGTGCTTTCTTCCTTTAGACAGAAGAGATTTGCAACTTCCTAGATAGACGAGCCAGTTGTTCTTGCGAAGAGGGAAGGAGAAAAGCCCAGTGCCTACAGCTTTGTTGCTACCACTCAGAATCTCCAGGATTTTAGAGTCTGTGGATCTGATTTTGCCACATATCACTCGAGAAAACATCAGAGTGCACACTGTATCTGTGAAATAAATAACTTACATCACCAATATCAAGGAGGGGAAATCTGATAAAGAGAGACATAAACACTTTTATTCAGTATTTAGACAGATCCATTCTGTGAGCTCACAAAGTTTTAGAATTAGTTACAAATTTGGGAAGTAAGATGTGGCATTAGGTAAGATTCATCACTCCTCTTGCTTTGAAAAGTAGCAAAAAAATCAGCTTTTGTGTGGGAAACAAAATAGAACATACCCCTCACCCCCTCATCACTTCCCCCACACACAGAGGTCTTGATATTACTAAGATGGAGAAGAGAACCTGGCAAAAATGAAAGAATCCTAAAGTCTCCAGATTTTTCTATATCTTCCACGAAGTCTGTAGCATTTAAATATATTCATTTTTTTCCCTGTTTATACATCATTCCCCTTTCCAGTTGTTCTCTCCTACACTGAATTTCTTCCTTAAAAAGTGTTCATTTTAATGGCTAAAGTTTATGGACTCGTGGGAGAAAGGGCAGGAAGTCAGACTTTTGGGATAGGGTAAAAATGTAAAGGTCATTCACACACTCACACACACGTACTCTCTCTCGCTCCAAAAATAATACACTATTTGACAGTTTCAGGATTCAGCATGTCCCACTGAAATTTGAAAGCTTATGTGAAACTAGGCCACGTCCTGTAACCTCAAACATTTAGTCTAGGAAAACAGCTCTCAAGTCTCCAGCTCCCACATCGGGTATCGCATGACGTCTGTGCCAAATAGGAGACCTCAAACCAGGGGGCAAAAGAAACGTTGGTAAAATGAGTTGATTAAACCTGGGGAATAACAGTTCAGACTCTTAGTGACAGGTATTATTTTTTCTGGTTAGCTGGCCAGTGAAATATTAAATTATACTCAAGGCATCTATAACGTGAGCTGGGCAGAATGGTCGCACAACCTACTTGTGTTCCACCTGGTGGCATGGACAAAGGAGAAAGAAGACTCATGCTTTGCAATGAAATTATTTTATCCTCCCCTTCTAATTTGTTAACTATTCAAAAATCAGAAAAATCATGTAAAAATTGAGGCTCAGTATTTCCTCATACTGAGGCACCACAACACGAGACACCAATTATAAATATTATAGAATTTCATTTACATTACTGAAGTTCAGTTCTAAACTTTCCAGTAGTTCCACTTGTGCTGTGCTCTTTATGGGTAATAAACAATTAATCCTGTGTGGTCTACAGGGTTACTGTTTATTTTTCCTCACCCAAATCTCCTCTTTTGCCCCTCTTTAACTGCAATTTCAAGACAATGCTCCAAAAACATATGGAATGAGTAAAACAATCAATACAATGAGTGATGCCAAACCTGGCACAGCTTATGGATGATTGCAAACCCTGTTAATTAATATTCATGTGAGGAAATGAGAGGGAGAAACCAGCCTCACACCTATCAAGCAAACAATTGTTCACTGATTCTTTTTTATATTGAAGTATCCTCTTCTACTATAAACACAAATCCAAATAACTTTAATAATATTTTCTGCAGGTCAATACTAAAATTGTACCATTATTGTGGCATCAGATTTTATTTACTGAACAGCAATGGTCCCTACCAGACAGATGTTTTAGGCTCTAAATTCTGCTTTTGAAATGTCATATTGCTGTAGACAAACAATTAACACTCTGTTTGTTACCCACTTTTATCAGGAAAAAATCTCTAATTGAATCAGTATATCTAAAGCTTAAGAACCTCACGTAGCATATCTGATATTTACAGATATGGAATATTTATCTCCTTCCTCTAAGTTTCATTGAAGATTAACAGCAATTCTTGATTCCTAAATACATTCCTAAATACTGAATTTCACAAAAACATAAATAAGCAAATATTATTAAATAGACTTTGAAATGCCATAATCTCAAAAATAAGTCGAACTGGAACATCAAATAGGAAAACAAGGACCACATGGACAGGTTTCAAAGTTGACTGAAATGGGTTTTTTAACCATTTTGAAAAGGAGGGCCACAGCTAGTCTGGACCCCTTGATAATAACATTGCTGCCTTCAGAGCTCTTACCAGACTTGCTAATTATTCTTCCAGGACTGGCAGAAACTTGAACTCTGACCAGACTTACCCACAACACTTGCGGCAGTTTAATGCACTGGAGAAATCAAAGTTGTATATTTGCTCTTTTACAAAGAGAAAAGTCTGCATTCAGTACGCATTAGGCATTTGTAGTCTGTGACTAATATGACCCTGAGAGGATGTACAGAGTCTAATAGCATACACACTTTTCCAATTATTTAAAGAATAGCTCATGATTGTTAGATTCAAAAGTTCTTAGCTAAACAGTTGTATAAGAGGATACCCTTACAAAGGTGTTGAACTACACATGTGTGCAATTACATTGTAATTATAGAGTATGTAAATGTAAGCTGACAGAACAATTAACAGAAAAAGAAAGCAACAAATAACGAAGTCTTTCCTTTGCCAAATGACATTTATAACAAAACTAATGGAAGCTCTTAAACAAAAAGGGAATGAATAGCCTCTATATGGTTCACTGGGCTTCTGCAAACTGAACCATAACTGCCATCCTCCCTAAAACTGCTCTCACAGCTTGTGCTGTCACAGGACTGCTTTTGCAATTCCCCTGGCAGTGACAGGAAAGCCAAGATGGGATCAGACATCAGTCCTGCCTCATACCAAAATAATCCCTTGGCCTTCAACATTGCAGACAGAGCCATAGTTTTATAATGGCAGAAAACTATATATC